AAAGCAGCTCTTTTCAATGAAAGAACCAAGACAACGAAAAAACGAAACTATGATACTGCCGTTTTGAATGCATGTGGTGCTTTATTGTTTGAGAAACCTCATCAGGAGATGGTTTTAAAAGTGGTTTCTTCAGTAAACTTGAAGCCCGTTAGCATGGTCAACAGTGATGGTGAAGAATTTAATGTGCTTGCGCACGAAAGTCAATTCCAACAAATACAAAAAAACGATATCCAAAGTGCTTCTGTTGTTGCAAAAAAACGATTGATTGACAACGAACCTGTGGAAATAGAAGTGGGACTTGATGATGTGCTAACGAAAGGTGTTTATCGTACTCTATTTAATCCAAATGAATTTCAGGAACTTGATGAGGAAATGTGCACCCTATTAAATACGGATTGGAGTACGAAGAAGCATATCAAATATTCTTGCTCGGCTCTTCTTGCGGGGATGATAATGGTGATCAATAGCAAAGCTATTTTGGTAATATGTCACGAAGTCTATGGAAGGACGCGGTCTGTAGATGTGCATAGGGAAGATTTTACTGTTAAATCAAAACAACCGTCACCTTCCTCACTCCCTCCACCTCGATCCCCCTATCGGAATATTTGGGTGACAACAATTATCGACAATCATGGCTCAAAACTTATATTTGGTACAAAAACATTCAACTCACTGGTAACATCTAGTATCCGCATTGATAGTCCTTATGAACCAGAAGTTGGTCCATCCACACATCATTTTACTATCTCCAGCAACGAACAGTCAAGAGATATAAAAATTTATATACACAAAGAGTCTTGGAATAAAGCAAAAAAACTTATGGTTGAACCTCATAACCACACCATAAACACTTATGATTTCCTATATCAAACTCGCCAAATACAAACCAACTTTCATTACCGAAGTGCGTATAACCGATCAAGAGCTGCATCCATGATAACCGATAACCATACTTTGTACCCCTACAACATCTTCACTCTTTCCCAATGTAATAATGGCCCTGACATATCTGACTATAAGACTATGTCCGAAGTTTTCCGAGAAATTGCATTGAAAATATTTGTTGAAGAAGACAGTGATATAGAAGAAGATGAAATTGTAGGCTCTTTGAAAAAAAAATTCATCGAAGATCAAATACAAAAGTGCAAGTCAGAAGGCGAAATAATCAAAATACTCCAATCAATACTGAACTTGTATGGTGATGATGTGGAAATTCCCGTTATAAACAACTCCCAATTGAACAATCTTTTAGAGCTGTCGGTAAATCAGCTTCTTCCAGTAATCACCCGTGTAAATGAGCATATCATTTCATCATTGAAGCAGACATTCTCTTCATATGTTTAATACATTTTTACAATCTGCATATGCCAATAAAATTCCCCCTTTCGATTCGATTTTTTTTTTACAGAGTGCATATTTTGGTTAGAAATGCTAATTTTCTGTTGTTATTCGGTAAAAAACACAGGAGTGATTGAGTTTGCGATACAAAAAATGGCCTATGATGAACCTTTTTTTTTACCAGTTGTAAAAACTTATACAAAGGGTCGAATAAAATAAGAAGATTTTAAACAAGAGTAGCATCACTTCACGGAATATTTGGTTACAAGTTTGAAACCACAATCATGTTTGTTTTAAATACCCAAAACTGATTTAAAGTATACTTTACACATCATGTATCAAGAAAACCAATGTCAATCTGTGAACGCAATATGAAAAGAAAACGAGCCTTCTAATCAGAATACCTATATAGTACAAAAACTCCTTTTTATCAATCTGATCCTATATTCCCAAGGGCACCTATATTGTAAGCCACACACAAATTTTTGAAATCAACCTTTTTATTGTTAACATTGGATAATCAAGGTACTTTATTCTTATTTTTATCATACCAATGATATAAAAGAAGCTCTTGAGGTTTTTGATATCGGCAAGGTTTCGATTTTTCAAAATGTTTCAGTTGTCATCAACTGTTTTTTTTTTTTTGGAGATTGGAATGGCTTTTGTAAAATTGCTGTTGCAAATCTGACTAACATCATTTACATGCACTAATGCATTTACTTCTTCACCTTGATTGGTGGTCAAACAAATGGGACTGAGGTTCATTGAATCAACAAGTTCAAATATTTGGTCCTGATGAGACTTCTCAAACAATAAAGCACCACATGCATTCAAAACGGCAGTATCATAGTTTCGTTTTTTCGTTGTCTTGGTTCTTTCATTGAAAAGAGCTGCTTTACATTTTGATTTTTGTATATGAGATTTTATACCTTCTCTAGTCAAGTGTTCTTTATTGCAAAAAGGACATTGTAAAATATCATTTTTTCTTTCTACTATAACCTTTTCGCAAATTCCTGAAAGCCCAGAGTCAGCAGTTGTAAATTTGAATCTAAATTGAACGTACCTTCAACTGTTACGGTGATAGTGCATTTTTTACAATGCCTTTCATATTTATGTCTTTTGAGGGTGTCTTTTGAATTGAAGTTTTCTTCACAATCGGTGCATGTTAACATTTTGGCTGAATGTGAACAAACGAAACTGAATCAAAAATACAATGTTATCACAGGACCCGACCAAGTAAGAAAAGAAAGGACCCGACCAAGTAAGAAAGGACCCGACCAAGTAAAAAAGAAAGGACCCGACCAAGTAA